CAGGTGAAATTACAGTAAACGTATATTGAAAAAAAATATCAAAGAGAATAGAATTCTGGCTTTTAGTGTATCGCGTGATATGGAGACGATCGGACATGGAATCCTTGGTTTCGTCCGTGTCAATTCGATTTTAATTAAGTACGATTTCTTTTATAGATCACTAGTTTAATCTACAAAGAATGGAAGACGGAGAGATTAGACAATAAAATTCAACGTAGTGGAATGGTTAGATCAACATAGCCGATTTGTTTATTGCTTTCTATATGATCCCGGTGTAATGTGTACTTTCGATTCCTCCGAGGTTCTACCTTACGCATGTCATGGCAGTCCAGAATTGATCGATCTTGCTTCCAAAAATATTCTATAAAGAATAGATATCAGATACTAAACGAATTAATTGTTTTCATTAATTTCCTACTTTTAGAAGATAAGAGAGAGATAATATGTTAATCTATATTTATATTGTATTATAAGCCTATTTATGAGTGTTATGATATATGCTTAAGTTTAAACAAAATAAACCTTTTATACGTATGTACAATAATATAATATATTATAGTATATTATATATTAATATATTATAATGTATATTTTATAAAAATATATATTATGTACATATTTTTCTCACATAATTGATTTTAAAAATTGATTACTTTAGTATCTCATAATAAGAAATAAAAAGGAAATACGGTCGATCAAATCTGCATTATCTACAATGATACGTTCGGTATTTAGTTCGATTTAATTTGCATAAATTATCTTTTTAATTGGTAAATGTTAAAACTATGTTATTCAAAGAGGTAATTACTGTAATTCCAAAATTGTTGTTAAAATTATTTTTTTATGTCTACACACAAATATGTGTCATTATAGTTAATTATATAAATGTGAGAAACAACAGCGATTAAATTTTTGTACTGCTAATTTCGATAAGATTATTGGTGCAGGATATTATATAGGTAGGTTATATGACTTGGCATTGTGCGTGTTGCATCAGATACATTATATCTCGCGCTCATTAAAAATGCACACGGAAGCCTATAGCTATTGCAAGATCGACAGATTTTTTTTCGGGAAGTAGCTCCTCGCGCGCGCTGGGCGCTTAGCATCGTTTGGCTGGTCCAGCTATTTTGGGTACGAAAATATATGTCGATTCCATGCTTTGACGGATGATCAACGTGTGGTCGTATATGCCAAGCTCCATCCCTTAAGTTCTTGCCCGTGAGACATAATAATTATATATTGATGTGAAAACGTCAGTCGAATACCGTAATGTCAATAATAAGGAAAAAAATTACGATCTGGAAAATCACGTTCGCCGTGCGAAAGTATTTTTTAACCTAATGCATAATTGAAAAACGCAGATAATAGATACAAGGAATAACAAACTTCGACTTATTAGAAATCGCGTATATCTAAATACTGTTTTTGATAAGTTCAAATGTTTTGTTGCTATTACCTGTACTTTCCAGTTGTATTTTAGGCTTTTCGTTCGCGCAAAGATGCAATCTGAGCATCATATCTCATTTATATTGTATATATTTCAAACTGCGATTGACTAATCGCACGCATCAACGAGAACGTACGTTGCAGTATTGGAATTAATCTAACAGAAGGTCGAATTAGTGATCGGTACCGTACAAGTAGGCGCGTCAAGCTCGCGCTGAGATTGTAACGGAGTTGATATACTACGGAGTTGAATATAAAATAATCGGGAGATCATTATATTAATGACATTACGAATTCAATGAAACGAATGCGTAACGCGTGTGTGCCATTGTAAATAATAATTCGTGGCGTTACGTCACAAATAGCATCTAAATTGATACTTCGTGAGATACCTATTTTTTGAATCGCTTAGAATAGTGACGACATACATCTGCGTATCTATTTAATTTTTTTTTCTCTATTTTCTATGAAAAATCGTATCGTTCTTTTACTTCAAAAGTGATACAACTAAAAAAGCTTGTTTTAAAAACAAGGAAAATTATATATAATTAAAAAAATTACTGATTAATTATATAATATCAGCAAAAAGAATTAAAAACTTATTTTAGAAACATGATCAAATGTCATTTTTGTTATTTTTATTTCGTAATCCTTAAAAAAATCACCTTTTTTGAATTGTAATCATTTTGATTAATTATAAAATTATAACAAGTCCGGAATAATGCATAAAAAAATTATATATAACTCGAAAATTTATATTTAGTTTTATCAGCTGAAATGGCTAAATTCAAAATATAATATACATTTTCTTAAAATTTCGATCATCAAAACTGTCTTAACTTTAAATGATTTCTATAAAAGACTCTTCTATTTATTTAAAACGATGTAAATTAAAACGTATCTCACACACACACACACACACACACACACACACACACACACTCTTGTAGAAGGTATTATAATTTCTTTGAAAACCTTGAGGAAATGACACATTAGCGGACGGACTGTGAAATTAATTTAATTTACTTTCGATTGATAGAGTAAACTTTATCTTATTCGGCAATAACTCGAAAATCATATTTTTTATGTTGTGTTACGTTTGAAGTAAGGAAACAATACTGTCCTTCTTATCATATACGAGGAACGTAAATTTAGAAATTATGTTAGACCATAACTAAGACCGTTGCGCAAATTATTCTTTTTCTATAAATATGAGTTGTACGATAAGCGATAGTTAGTCATTGTTTCAGAACAAGATAACATTGATAAAATGTAAAACACAGAACAAATAGTAAAAACCGGTTTTCTCTAAACGCCATTATTTACACTTGTTTAAATTTTAAGGTCATACCGTCCGAGGTCGTCCTGCATCCCAAATGTAAAAAGATTGTATTGTTTATGTATATTATTAATTTAATTTTAATCATAACTTTATACAGAGCGCCTTACATAGTAATAATATATTTATAGTAACAATGTATTTATTATTCCGAAGATTGAATCAAATTTACTTTTTTTAATGTACTCCGTTTCTTTAGTATTATTAGACAGATAAGTAATTGATACCAGTAAAATGACAATGATTAATGACGTGATTAATTACTATTTAAATTTATCTAAGTTGTAATTAATTATCGGAAGTGCGATAATTAACTTTATGACTCATCGTAATCATGATATTACAAGAAAATTAGCAAATGCAGAAAAGGCGTTACTTTTCCTCATTATGAAAGAATACATTAACCTATTTTCATTTCGTTAAATTTAGTTACAAGTTTTCGTTTAGGAGTAGAGATAATATATTTGTTTTTGTTGCTTGTAAAAATTCACAGAATATAAAGACGTCAATAGAATATATAGGGCACTTTTCAAATTCCATAACTTAAATTATTTAACTCTTAGCCCTCGTTTATATTATTCAGTATAATACATATATTGAATGCATAACTAAATACAAATGAAATTAACGTCAATACTATTTTAGCTCATACAGTTTTATGTTCCTAAATGTCTCAGAAAACTATAAAAATAATTAAACTTAACATTAAATCCAAAAGAGAATCACTCGAAAAAGTTGTAATAAAAAAATAAGAAATCTGTACATATAGTGAGTGCAAAAAGTACAGGGGAAACATCTTTAAAAAAATTGTTACTTTTATGAAGTGGACATTAATTAACAAAGAATAGAACTATACTTTTCAAAACTATTTTATCTAAAAAGATATATGTATAATTAAATAATATTTAACAAAAACATTTATTGGATCATACGTGTGAACACACAACCAATAGAAAATAAAGGTCTTTAATGATTGGATCTTAAGTGCTTAAATAATTCGATACTTATGTTATCATGAAAATTGTGCGCCGAATTAAGTTTTTGAATTTTGAAATGCAATCCCGATAGAATTATAATAGTCATATAATAATTTTGATGTTTATAAGCATTTGGAAAGATTTTAATAATACTGATAAATCTATTATAAAATCTGTGATTAATTTTATTGCAAAAAATATTACCTTGATCAGGAATCTCCCGCTTGTCGGGCGAGTGTTTTCACAAGCTAAAAATAATTTTGCTAATATATATCCACACTGTAAAAAATAAAATGTTAATTTTAACTCAAAGAGTGAATTTTCTGAAACATGCAAAAATGTTAAAATTAACACTTAACGTCTTTGAGTTAAAATTAATATTTTATTGTTTACAGTACAAATATGATGGTACAATAAAATTTTTGTGCCGGATACAGACCTTTAAGAATTTTATTGAGCTTTCATATATACATATAGATTTATAATAAGCGAATATATTAATAAGAAAGTCGAAAAATTCCTTTGCAGTTGTGGATTACTACATTTTTAATTCTGAAATCATAAAGTATCGTAAATTTAATGCGCTTCGTTTATGATTTTAGGTTAAAAATTCTTCCTAACAGAGTTAGGCAAATATTTTAGCGATTCACAGTTGTAAGACACTCTTCGACTTCCTTATCGATATATTTGTTCACCATGAATCACTGTGACACTTCAACAAAACTCTCTATGCGATTAAATATGTGTGAACACGTTCAAGAAAGAAGATTAGCGTGACTAGAGTATTGCTGCATCAACAGTTACAGAAAGAATTTTAACAGTATTTTAAATGTTTCATTGAAGAATTAAAATTAAAATAATACTGATAATATGTGTATAATTTTTTAAACGATTTGTTGCGATCAATTCGTTTTGTTTCAAATAATTTTTGATAACATTTAAACACAATTTATATATGAGAAATGTCCTGAAGCATCTTTAGGGTTTGAGAACGTCCTTTGGATGTCTCTTGGAGATACGCTATATGAGTTATCTTATTTGATTGAAGGGATAATTATTAAGCTAGCAAAATTTCTTTGTGGTCATCTAGCAAAAGTGTTTTTCCATACAAATAAGATATTTTTTTTTATATAAAAATGTCCCCTATACGAATATTTTTTGCATTCACTCTGTGTGTGCGTATGTATGCGAGAGAGAGAGAGAGAGAGAGAGAGAGAGAGAGAGAGAGAGGGATGGGGGGGAGTGTGTGTGTGTATGAGAGAGAGAGAAATTCTTCATTACTATTGGTCAACTATTTCCATGTCATTTGTTAAGGATTAAAAAGTCTCTACAACCGTCATACGTAACATTCCTTCTTCTTGAATCAAACTTTTCATATATACGTTTGTAAACAAATTCGTCCTCAACGATTGAACATTTCATGAATACAACGTTTTTTGGCCTACATTCTTATCGGGCAAAAAATTATAATGGCACCGTGAATACAGAGAAACACGCTTGTCCTGTACATTTCAGTATTCGTTTGACTTTCGCTTGAACCGTTTGTATCTGACGCGCTCGGTAATTCCTCGCAGTAATATGTACATATAGTTATAAATGACATAATTAGTGTTGAATAGTTCTGTCTTGGGCTGTTAAAGTTCAGTTACAAGCACTTCTCATCACAGAAAAAGAAAATTCCCTCTAACCTGCGAAATTTTCTTAAGTTATGTAAGTATTAATAAGAGAACGCGCGAGTATTTATATACTTTCGTTCGTTTAGATCATTCATTAGATTTATACGTATTGATAACTACTTTAGTGCGATGAGATCGATTTTAACAGTAAACGAGTACTTCCGTATTATATTTAATTGCTCGACACACTATGTACGTTTTTGATAGCGCGGACGCTCAAACTGTAATTTGTCCTCGAACTTGAGCATTGTCGTAATATTTTTAGCAATTAATACTTTAGACGTTTTACTAGGACACAGTGTACACAAGATTCAAAGCGTTTAAATAAAAGCTTATTTATTGCCGAAAAAATGCGTTCTCTTTTATTATCTTTAATATTTCTCTAGAAATGTATACTGTAGGAGTGTTATATAAAATTCATGATAAAGTTTTAATATGTATTTCTCAAAGAATTTGCAATTCTATAAAGATCTCCTTTGAGAAGCAATTATAAATTTATAACAGAACGATTACTCAAAATTATGAACTTTTTAAAGATTTATTAGACTAACAACATAATTTATATATATATATATATATATATATATATATAACAAAACTTAACGTTCCTTTTTTGATCTTGAAATTTCTATGCTTAATTCATCACTATATGTAAACGTATACGTTTATACTTTATCGCCCATATTATCAGTTAAAAAATGGATTAGATATATTGGTTTCAATGTCGATAGACGTACAGATATTTCGTATACTTTTATTATATACATACGTGAAAATAATCTTGATTATCACTGCGATACCACATTCGGTATGATAGCTGTTTATGAGGAATAATGCGATCATCGAGCCCTCCCACGTAAAGTACAGTAAAATCTTATCTGTTCTAGTGAATTACCGAGTCACATAACGTCAGCTCTTTAGTAGAATGCACTGAAGTGTACAGTGCGCACTGAGTCTTACATCACGCGCGTAACTCGCTTTTTTTATACCTTCTGATATGGCTGCTCATCGAGGTAAAAAATTCGATACTGCACGTCATTTAGAGAACATAAATGAGAATGTTTTGACAATGAAAAACTCTGACATGGTTTGTGTAAACGAAACGAAAAATCATAACATTGACGACACGCCGCGAGAAGAAATGACTGAGTTTCTCGTTAAATATCGCGATCGTATTTATAATATTTACAATTTCTTGAATAATCATCCTGGAGGAAAAAACACGCTTATGCGTCTCAAGGATCGAGACTTGGATAAAGAATTAGCAAAAAATCCTCACTCGAAGTCTGCTTACTATCTTCTCGAAGAATTCGCTGTACAACATCAAGTGAGATACAATGAATACGAAGTAAGTGATTTATAAATGAGAAATAACAAATGACATTTATATTATAGAAAAAAAAATGAGCCATCAGATTAATCATTTATATTTCCCGTAAGATTTCAATAGATACTTTATTTTTAATTTTATGTGTGCCATGTGATTTTTAAATGTGTATATATAATATATAATATATGTGTGTGTGTTTGACACATGTATATTTCAATCCTTTAAATATACTTTTGCTATATATATATATCAAATTATAAATCAAATTCTATCTAAAAATCATCAGTTACAATGAAAAATATCAAGTTATGACGAAAATATATTTCTAATTATAAAAAATAAAACTATAATGTTATATACAAGTAACATATCAAATTTTAACATGTCATATTGCACGTAACATATCAAATTTATCTAGTAGGATTGGTTTATCTCCAAGTTTATCTCAATTCTATGAAACATTCACTACATACAGATAAAAAAAGTGTTAAGATAATAAGTCTGTATAAAATCGCAGTATGGTTTTGCGATATTATGCAGTTGCTTTTAAATCAATGAAAAAATGTACGCATAGATGCTCAAAAGGCAAAGCTGGTTGCGTGCTAAAGTAAATTAGTAATGTGCTTTTAGTAAATTATCGCTCAAGAAAATTATGCTTTATTTTAGAATTTAATAAACTGGGACAAGCCTATGTTATGGCAAGTAGGTTTTATGGGTGAACAATATTGGGAATGGGTAAATCTGCCAGTAAACCGGCCTATTCGATTTTTCCAATCCGACATTTTAGAGAAATTATCGATTTCACCATGGTATATTCTACCAATTATCTGGCTACCCATAATTACATATTTCTTTTACATGGGCTGTGCCTCGAATGATTTGACAAATATTGGTAATTCATATGGCGTTTACAATAAAAAAAATTAGTAAAAATAGTAAATAATAAAAAAATAATAAATATATGTATGAAAATCATTATACGCATATTCCACCATATAAAATGTGTATATTTTCTCTGTATAGTACAAAATATTCTACCATCTCTCGTTCTGGGGCTATTCATATGGACCATTTTAGAATATTTCTTTCATCGAAAAATATTTCACTTTAGGCCACCACATAACTCGAAAGTACTGATTACTCTACATTTCTTGTTACATGGAAATCATCACAAGGTAAGACCCACAAATTTTTGATATATTTTAAACTAAATATTAATTTTCGATTATATATAAGTTGTGCCAATAGGCACCATTGGATAATCGAAGACAAGTATTCCCACCGACATTCGCTTTATTTTTGGCAGCAATTGCTTGGGAAATTTATAAGGCTATATTTCCCGTGACAATAGTTTATTTTATCGCTGCTGGTAGTACTATAGGTAAAAATACTTTATATATTTAAATATCCATATAAACTTTGTTAGAAAATACAAGTTATTTAAAACATCCGTAACCAAATGTATCTACTTTTACAGGCTACTTGAGTTATGATTTAATGCACTATTATTTGCATAATGGAGCACCATTGGCAGAATCATATCTATATACAATGAAAAGAAAACATAACTATCATCATTTTGTACATCATGACCAAGGTAATTAATTACTGCAAATTACAATTAGTATACAGAGAATTAATCGTTATTATATCATCTCTTACAGGATTTGGAATCACTAATGGATTGTGGGATCAAATACTTAATACAGATTTAACTTTGAGAGAATTAAAGGAACCTTTAAAATGGTGAAATAGCTCAAAGAAAAAATACGATATTTCCATTTATTAATAATATTAATTTTTTAATATTTTTTCATTGTACAAATAATCATTTATTATTGATACAATCACAACTATAATTATAAGTATAGTATATTATTTTTGTAATATTTAAACTTAACCACAGAGTTAATTTAAGTACATATATTCTCTTGAGATTCATTAATCTTTTATAAATATATTTACGTGATCAAAGTCTTTCAAATAACAATGTATAACGTCACAAAATAATGACAAATTTGTATTTTAATAGCTTTGCATTTATTTGATTAAGTAAATGTAATATTAAATAAGACTTTGAACTAGAAAAGTTGTTGGTATCTTAAGTACATAATTCATGATATCTTAAGTACAAAACTTTATTACAAGTCCATTTATCCCGTTTCAAGCCTAATATCACAAAATATCCAAAATTAACAGAAAAGTATATATTAATATTGAGATCCAAAGCATCTTCGCATTGTGGTTTTTAGCCACGTATTAAATACATTATACCTGAGTACAAAATTCACAAGGGACTCATATTGCCACTATCTAGATCGACGCTAATTAAATTTCTAAGCAAGCGCGTCACTGTGTTTCGGCCTTGACAGTCTTTCTACCCATACTTAATTGCGGAAATGTACTTTTATTAGTGGGAGGATTTAGCTTGGATGACAAATGCACAAATGCCTCAAATAGAGTAGATCTATCCATGACGTTTATCTCATAATGTTTAACCTTTTCTCTGGTGCACCAGTTAGTTGCCTTGCTCACGGTATTCTCTAAGTTATTCAATACAACATTAGTTTTAGTTGTTCGATTACCAATTACGATCACAGTTATCTCTTTCTTGTCCTTATTCTTGTCAATGTCTTTCTTTAAAGGAAAGAGCACATCTAGAGATTCAGGTTTGCCAGTATCATATACTAAGACATAACCATCGGCGAAACCAAGGTAATGTCGTGGAAGCTGCTGATTATTTACATTACTTTGTAAAGATTCAAGCCCGGCCGTATCATAGAACCTGACCTTCTCTTTTGTGCCCCGATCAGTCTCAATGTTGGCGACATAAATGTCTTCGATTGTAGGATGAATTTCCTGCAATTAATTATTACTTCAGTGTTAGGGTATAAACACATTTATAACTACATTTATATACATTATAGACAATAGGTACAGGAAATAACATACACGCAATAGACTTAAATCTATCAGAAATTTCTATGTATTGAAGGGTATAAACACATTTATAACTACATTTATATACATTATAGGCAATAGGTACAGGAAATAACATACACGCAATAGACTTAAATCTATCAGAAATTTCTATGTATTGATATACTGATATTGCTGTGTATTATTTCTGGTTCCTATTGCCTATACTTTCTATCTGTTATAGACTGATTCAGATCCTTCCATAAAGTCCCATAAGCACAAAAGCCCTCAGGATGATATAACCTAAAATAAATACCGTCTTTGTGTCGATATTTCCATATACGAGCTGCTCTAACAGAGCGGTTTTGCCAACTCCTTTCATCCCGCAAACAACTACCCTCGTAGTTTTTCCCATATCTCAATTTTCGTTAAGTACCAACTACTTCGCGTAGCGATGACATTACATAGAATGTAATGAAATGACAGCAGACAGAATCGTTTGACACATACAGTGCAACTCATTAATTCGCTGGGTCATAGTAGCGGCTTGACTTATCGACGCTGACAAAATTTTATTGTGAGTCGGTAACGCTCAACGCTTCACTCGAATAGGCGTTTTTTCGTTATCCAACCAAAAGGGATCAGAAGACAAAGATAGCCTAGTCGCGATTGCTTCTGGTTGCATAACGAAAAAACGCCTCAGAATGACAAACTGTGTTACATCCCTAGTTATAGGAGTCAGTTTATTTTATGTATTTACGAGTTGCAATAGATACAAGATTCAAGAGAATAAGAATATATTTTATTTTTTTTTTATTTTATATAATTATAATTAATGTATTTTGTATTTTATTTGATTATTTAATTTAAAATAAATAAGTCGTTCATATGCATGTTACACATTTGCATTCATCTCTTTCAATCCATCATTCAATAATTTGAATAGGAATTAGCAATATTTTTTAAATATTAGATATATATTATTTTTCGTGACTGTAAGTAATTGTGGCTGATTTAATCATTCAGCAGAAAAAAAAGATCATTTGCATTCGCAAAAAATTTTTTTTCTTTCGTTTTCGCATTCGCTTTCGCTATAACTTGCACTTTCGTTACATCCCTAGAAAATAGTAAAATGTGGTGTATATTATACGAGTATATTACAACATTGGGAAATAATTTGTTACTCTTGTAGCAAAGTTTTAGTTACAGTTACTTTTTTCAGTAATTGTAATTTAATTATATTTTTTTTGTTACAAATAACTAATTTTATAGTTACTTTTATGATTACTTTACATATATGTCAACTTAATTATTATATATCTATTATTTATAAATGTAAAAGTCGAATGATCAACAGAATAAACAATATTCAGTCAACAGTAATTATTTCTTGTGATTGGAATATGCCTTTATTTTTGACAATCACCATATTTCGTAAAAAATATGTTTATATTAAGTTTTAATCTAAGATCTCCGATTGTGAGAGTATGTTTTAATCAATACTTATCTCATTATTTTTGATTGGTTATATATTATTATAATTTAATTAATATATATATAGGATTTATTTTTGATTTTTAAAAATAGAATAAAAATAATATATAGTACTTATTACGTTATAAATATATTGTTACAAATATATTTATATATATTTGTAATATTGTTAAATGGTTATTTATTTGGTTTGTAAAAGAACTTCTGAAATACTCAAAGTATCTGTCAATTTCATACTTTATTCTTTTCATATTAACGTACAAATTTGATTCTAAAAAAAATTTTTTTCAACGAAATCGCTCATATAAAATAGTTAATAATGATATTTAATTGTATAACAATAGTTATATACATATACACCATATATAACATAAATAAATATAATTGTACATATAATATTATTATTATAAATATTAATTCTGTTTTATATCTTTAAAACTTTCTGGAAGTATCCAATGTGATTCTCTATTTGTAACGATCGTAATTTTATTTTTTTCTCGATGTACGAATGAACAAGAGTAGAATTTACTTTTTTTAAGAGTTTATCTTTCACCTGAAATAGAAAATATCGATCATTCATTAATACCATGGTTTATTCTTTTTAAGGCATTATATGCTTCACAGCACATCAGATACATTATTTGATATCATTCAAGAGTCAAAAGAAAAATCATAGATAGAAGATCGATAATAATAATTGTTAAAAAAAAACTAGCTAGAGTTTACCAATAAAAAATAGACAAAATTATTTATAGTCGCAATTGTTTGTACCAGCAATAATTTTGAAAAAAACTTTAAATCAATTAAATTGGGACACCCAGTATATACGTATAAATTTACCTTGTCAATTTGTTCAGTAGAATATATATAATTAATAATGTTTGTTAACGCTACAATCATCTTAACCTTGCTGTAAAAATAAAAGTCAGATATAATTAATTAGTACATCTAACAAACTTTCATAATTTTAATTAATATGTACTTATAAAAAATATTGTTACCTGGGTATTATGCTTGTCAAATTGTCTAATATGTAATTGAGTATTAAATTATTCTTCGCATGTCTTGCAATAATAGAATGAAAAATTGTAATGGGATATTGTAATTTAGTAAAATATATCGACTTTAATTGTTTGATATAAAAAATGATGTTATCACTATTTTCAGAGCATGCTAGATATTCTAAGCGTTTATTGTCAAAATCTAATGTATATTCAGTTAACATTTCCTTCCAAGTAATATTGTGCGCTACCATCATTCCTTTACAATATGTCCATTTCTTCCATTCCGGCCAAATTCTAGAATGTTTGTTAAGTTGTTCTTTATAGAATCTAGATGATTATGAATCATTTTTGCTAACGCTATAATTGAATTGGTCTTGTTATAAAATAAAATTAATCATCTGTTACATCAATTAATTTCTTGTAATTTTATATTTTAATAAACAATAACAAATTCAAAGGTCCTTGATTTAAAAAAGAACGAAATTAAGCGGACGAGTGACAGATTAATTGTCACGCACTGCAGTTATTGAAGTGCAAGTAACAAATACATATTAAGTAATTACATCTTTATATGACCAACATTTCGGTTCTATTTGGACTATCAGCAGTGTGACGTTAAAAAATTTTTAAGTATTCTGAACTCTCCCCAAGTCGGAATACTTCATTTTTATATGTCGCAATTTTTAAATGTGATCAATTTGGCCAATAAGAAACAATATTTACTTTAACAGTCTAGCTGGATCTTAGATAGTATAATAACTTAGGTTGTATAATTCCATATGAATAAGTAAATTTATATATTATGTATGTAGTCTTGTAAACTGCGCGCCAAACAATTTTTCGGTCTTGAAACACAAACTCTATTAAACTACTATAGTAATATTACGAGTTAAACGACTAGCAATTTAACAATTTTTGATGTTTTTTTACGCATCTTAGATCTTAATAATGCTGAAGACATTGTTTCTTAGACTAGAAATAGATTACTCATTGAAAATTAAGATTGAAGATTGAAATTTAACCAATAAGGACAAAGGAATATCAGCTCCTATGATTTGATCAAATTCGAATCTTTCAATTTTCAATCTGAATCTTTAATGCGTAGTCTGATTCCAACCTTGATTGTGTTTCTCACATGTAAGATTCTATAAGATTTAGTAATTAAATCAATTAAATTAAAATCGGCTCAAATCTGTTAATGGTTAATGCAAACCCTGTCCGCTTAATTTCTGTTTTTTTAATATGTTGATAACTTGTTCCACATTGAGATTTATTTTAAAAAAACTGAATTAAAAAGAAGTATCATTCATACAGATTTGGTTTTTTATAAAGCTGTATTAATTCAGATGAGGCAGTCGTAGTACATTTCTGAGAACCTAGAGTGCATGCCCATTTAGCGGCTTCTAATCTTAAACACTTAGTAAAATTATTCTCCTCCATAATGTCTGTATATCCAATTTTTTCCAAAACGTTATCTAAGATTTTCCGGAAGTGTTCCTAAACATTGATAAATAACTTAAGTTTTATATTGATTTTTTAATTACAGTTACATATACAGTTACATTACATATACAGAAAATTTTTACTTATATTTCTCTATAATTTAAATATAACATTTTAATCTCATGAGAGAGAAATGGGTAAAAAAGTTTTTTAAATATAAAACTGATATTTCTTTTTATATGTATCAATAAAATTAAGATCTTTTGTTGATAAAATTTATTATTATACTATTTACCTTAACTTCGGAACTTTGTAGAAATGGGAAAAAACCCGATATCTGTTCTAAAATTTTGAACATAGGATACCACGCTATATAATTTGTCTCTTTTGATAAATAATATGTGAGTGCTTTGAAGATATTGAAATTGAGTTTGTTATTTGTTGACATAAAATAATATGCATCATCTATGATTTGAGCACGATTGAGAACATGTATATTAGTATATTCCCGTGAATTTAGATAGTTTCCAAGTTTTTCCCAATTATTGTTGTTGTAATTAACACGATAATATCCTGTTGTATGATGAACAACTTTTATTATTGAATATGCAATAGTATGTAAAATCCTATTTACATGTGATAGACATAAAAACATAACATATTTATTAATTTATATTCACCAGCTTGTTCTACATTGATAATGATCCAGTCGCTATTGTTAACAGGCAAATATAAATCTGTATGTGGCTCTTTTAGCCATACTTTATGGCCAATATTGGGATTCTTTTGTGTAATATAAGTTACATATATCGACCACTTTTTAGGGTATGGTTCAGCTATATATACTTTAACCTCGTTTGGGGAAGACATTCGCTGCGACACCTGCAGCACAGGATAGCGTTCTTGTTTCGCCCACTGAGTGAATATCTCTATTATGTTCGTATATTCCTTATATTCTTCAGGTACTTCGGTAATTATGTTATTTTGTATGACATTCAAAAAGTATTCGAGAGTTGAAGTCGAAGTATTGACAGATTTAAATTTGCTAAATTTATAAAATTTGATATTAAAGGCTATAACAGATGGCATTACAAATATGTATATATACGAATACTATTTAATTTATTTATATATTATTTATATGCAACTTTTAATTATAATATCTATTATAACATTCGACTTTTGTAGGTAATAAATACTAATAATATATTATGTTATAGTTATTATACTTACTTATTCTCTTGAATATTATACTTACTATTTTGATATATAATCGTTGATACTTATGTCAAGTATTTCTTCAGGTAGCGCTTTATCCAATGAGCGTATAAAAATAGGTGCTACAACAATTATAATCTCTATTACAAAATGAGTTAAAGTATATTTAAAATAGTTTAAATACGGCTTTAAATTCTGATATGCAATTAATTTGATAGAAATGTATAAAATTTAAATTTTTAACACACATATGTATTTAATACACATTTTTTAATACACATATGTATTTTTTGTCTTACTAAAATATGTACCATAGTAAAACTGATGAAGATTTCTAATAGATTTACATAAAAACATACATTGAAAACATAGAATAACATTTTTTCACATAAAATATGTATTTCCTATGGACAATTTTTTAACTATATTTTCTTTTTCTTACCTCTAACATAATAAGTTAAAGGAAAAAGTGAAGCAATGTCAGATGATGTATCAACTTCGTCTATGAGAGACATATTATAGTAATCATTCAAACGGAGAGACTCATGTTGAAATTTTACAACAAATAAATCCATCAATTGGGGATGTTCGTGCTAGAAATGAAAAATTGAATGTAATTAAATTGTTGTTCAACCGCAGCATATAGTAATGCACATTATTCACAATTATTAAGTAAAAATGTTTACTATTGTTAATACTAATTTAAAAATTTATTAATAATTTTAAAAATAAGTTCCAGTTTATAATAAAAATTATATATGCATTCAAATTATTTGTCGCAAATTTTTATATCTCAGCCACAAATTACGTCAATTTAAGAATGCGTTTTATTTTATATAGCAATATATTTTTATATTTTAGATTATAATATTAATCAGTATTTGTAATTATATAGAATTTTTAATGATATATAGGATATTTATAGAACAACCTGTTTAACTATTTTCATTGCCAAAAATGTAGCAATACCCTCGTTTAACCAAAGATAAGACCATGAAGATTGAGCCAAGAGATTACCAATGTATTGATGTGCCATTTTACGTGCTATCATGAATGCCATTTCAAATTTCTTGGCAATAAAATCTAATTTTTTGTCGTAGAGAACATCTGTCTCTCTAAAAAATAATAAAACGACTTAGTTAAAAGTCTTGTTATTATATTATGTATAAGTAGCAAATTTAATTTTTATCTAATATATAAATGATATCTTTTTAATATATAATACAAGTAATATGAGTTGTAAATATACATTTACAGATTTATTATAAAACGTTGTATCAAGTTATGTTTTTCCGTTATTTAATATTTAATATTAGAACCAATTTGAGTTGTAAGTTATCAATAACATTAAACGCATTTCTTTAAATAAAGATTTAAATTTCTTTTCTTTATATGAAAGCATTACCTATGAAGGACAATTCCCCAACTTGACATGCCAGTGTCTTGGAAACCAGGAATTATAACATGAGTCACTGTTAATGGATATATTATGTCGTCATATTTGAGTTTTAAATGAAGTGTGGCAATTTTAGCGATTGTGTGTATCCATTTTACTTGTTGTTCTACGTTTTTTCTACACCACACGTTTGAATCATTAAGGCGTTTAAATTTGTGTAATATAATCATTATATGGTAAGGAGATATTTTAACGGTTGTTTCGAAACGTGACCAATTTTTTCCCAACCTAACTTTAAAATTGTCAATAGCTTCTGTATTCGATAAAACACTGTAATATTGATCATGCTTTACGGAAATAGTAAAATTGGTTCTAATATTCGGCTCATCCCAGCACGGAAATAGTTGTCGAGCCCCAGCTCCTTGCAAGTCAGCTGCAAATAACCACCTTTAACACATTAACAATAAATATTTTTTAATTTTTAATTATTATCGGCATGTAAGTATTAAGAAATTAATTACTTGGAGCGAGATAGAGTAACGATGAGTAATTAAATGCGCAATAAGATTTTCAGTAAAAATTGTATTTATTTTATACCATTTGATTTTCAGAGTATGAAGTAAATAAATTTTTACTGAAAATTTTATTGCTCATTTAATTACCACGTGCAGTTACTCTCATTAGTTTACATATTTGTTACTTTAGATTTGTTTTTCAAATATCGAGAGACCATTGATTAAATCATGGTATTATTAAGAAAATGTTAAAATACGATAAGAAACATTTTGAAAATAATATGTGTTACCATTTTTCACTAAGCTTACTCATTATATTCTCTATGTGCAATCTATTTATATAATATAAATCAAATAGATATGTTCTATTATGTAATATTTATATTACAAAATGTTAATGATATAGATTTATATTGTATTATTTAAATTTTAAATATATATATATATATAATATTTATACAAATTTAAAAGTAGAACTACTAGCGTTTTTAAAATAACTTTTAGTAGATGTACTTAAATTTACTAGATTTATGCTACTCACGTCTTTTTATTATTAAAGTCTTTGTCATTTTTTCCAGTAATCCCTCCTGTATTGTCAGGTATACTCCCAAGAAATTTCACGATTACTCGGTAAGTATCTATGCCTTGCAGGAAAGGATAATCAAAAATAATATCGATAGTTTGCTGTTTTTTGTGCACTATGTGCTCCTTAGGAGCAATCTCATTATTCATGCCATTAGCAAAATAACGAATTTTTGTTGCCACTGTATTTATTACCAGATTGCGTGCATGTAAACGTAATACACGTTTTTTATTAATATCTTGAAATAATAGAATAGATTCACCATAGAAAACAAATTCGTTTTCTTTTCGTCGCTTAGAAATAAATTTTATAAACGTTCTATGAACTGGTCTCCTACGAAACAGTGTTTCACGAATATATTCTTGTTGGTAGTCAACTTCGTCCTTAAATAATATTAAAGTGACGTTGTAGGCTATTGGTTTTATTGATAATTGATGTTTATCTGACTCAATATTGTCAGTAGCAGACGTTGAGATAAATATTAGATTAATGCTTAACAATATTTTTAATAATTCCATCATTGTCATTTCTGGTACCTGTGTAACAACATTTTTTTGTCATAAAGAAGGAAAGCAAGAATAGCAAAACAAAGTTTCCGGAATTACAAGTTATACATATATCGATACAATGGAAAGTAATGAAAAATACAAAACCAATTCCCATAATTTTGTTAAAAATAATCTGGATGAAGTAACTAATTATTTGTTTATACATATACTCGTGTGTGTATACAAACTGTATTGTTTTATTTTTACTAACATAATATGATGGAATTTTACCACATCAACACTAATTTGTTCAAGATTTATAATTTATAATGTAGCTGTAATATTACGACATTCTTTCAATTACTTATACATTATTGATTTATATCTTATTAATCTGTATTGATTTTAATTAATAATTCGTAGAAAAGTTTTTAATCAACAAAGTATAATTCTTGTTTAAATTATATCAACTTATTAGATAAATCTTTGATAAATAATTTTTATTAATAAAACATTTGTATTTTTAATAAATATAATAAAATATTTTCAGAATTTTATAATTAAAAGTTTATGGTACTTATCATAATATATGATATTTTAATAATAATTTATTAATATTGTATTATATAATATTCTATTATAAATAATGAAAATTTAAATACATTCTTTTAAAATTATTACAATATTATTTTCTTAAATAACATTACATATTTTTTGTATTTTATGAACTGTAACCATTGTATTAGATCTGTTTTTTGTTTCTGCACTGTCTGAACTAGTGCACACAGTGAATTTCTATTTTATTTAAAAAAAAAGTATATAATTTCTTTTCAAGATAATTAATAATCTTGAATTAATTCTTCCAGAATTGAAAAAAGTTTTAGAAATTGAAAGAAATAGTGCTGCATTCATATTTTTGCATTATTTAAAATATATATTTTGTTATACATTTATCTCTTTATAAAAAAGAGTTAAAATATTTCTTATCAATTACCTTTTATTTAAAAATTGTATAACTAACTGGTTGAAATTTACCATTAATAGTTGGTCGCTATTAATAAAAGGCACATGTTTCTATAATCACCTTGTTGTTATGAGAGTTTTCCGAATACTGACGGTGACATCAATAACTCATAATAAATATATGATGTCGTAAGAACAAACTACAAGGTTATATGTATTTTCAATAACATAATAACTAAAATTGTATATGTCGGGTAATAGATATTTTAGTTATTAGTACAGTCAAATTAATATTGGTTTTATATTTTTAATTTATGTTATTATTTTTTCTAAAAAATATGTATATACTCGATTAAAAAATCGAAGTTGTAGATTTAACACTAATATTCTTTATATCTTATAATAAATAATTTCCTTGTAAAATATATGTATATATCTACATAATAAATGTATTAAGCTTTTTTTCTCTTTTTTTTAATGTGATGTGACAGAAAATGCTTGTTGAAAAAGGAAACTGTAAGCTGTTCGACGAAGTACTATAGTAATAAAATTCTATACATTTTATATGATAAATAATATTCAGTTTACATAGTACAACGATACATAAGATAATGATGAAATATGTATTACAGAAAGTATTTATAAAATCACTGTATATCATTGTATAAATAATATGTATAAGTTTGACATCTGTTATAATGGATTTCCGTCAATAAATGTGCATAAGATCAACATATTTATTATTGATAAAAAGCTAATTAAAATCAATCGATAAACTGCAAGTGCTATTAGATTTATATTAGAAATTTAAAACGTATATTTTCAAATTTCACATACACACACACACGCACGGACACACAAAACGTATGTACATACGAGATCATAATCGATTGATATCGATGAAAACAAAAGAACAGACTTTTAAATCATTTTTATCTTGACGGACGTAAGAGTCGCCCATCCTTTTTTGACAAACTGCTAACAGCAATAATGGATCGTAAGGAGGTACGAAAAAGTTATTTTACGCAGGATACACGTTCACTATTCAAAAGCGAGGAAGGTATATGTACATGTAATAAATTAAATTCTCACAACAAAATATTTCTGGTTATGTGAATTGTATATTTTTTCCGCGTAATATTTACAATAATATTTATTAATTAATTTGACAATAATGAGATAATATATTCTAAGAAGTATTACTTTTTTGTCAAAGTGTATATATGTGTATATGTAAATATATGTATATGTACATATATACATATATATATTTGTTAAAGATAATAAAAGAACTTCTTGACTCTAATATATTCAGTTATTATACATGACAGGTATACTTATTAAGTTATTACATAAAATTTAATATTTATGAAAATATAAATTCTCAATTAATTAATATAGAAGTGTACAGTCGTATTAAAATTTAATGTCACTTTTAAGTAACATTAATTTTATTAGTATATAATTTTGTTGTTTTAGAATATCAAATTTCGTAATAAGGCTTATCTTTTTATTGTTACATTTTACTCATTTACCTAGCATCTTAAATAACTCAACAACATCACCGTAATCAAAATTTATTGAAAACTTTAGTGATTGTGAATTTGTCTGAAAACATTCTAATATATATTTTGTTTCAGAAATGTGATTTTCTATCTCGCGTTTGACATCCAAAAATATATATCCGTGTCTACTTTTCACATAATCGTTTATCTAAAACAAATTATATTAACTAATAATTTTACATTCTATACGATAAAATAAAGTAACGTGCATTTACAGTTTTTATATATTATCACTTAGAATAAGGAAGCATATAAAAGATGTATAAGTAGAGATAAAGATAAATTAATAGTAAAAAGCTAAAAAATGAACGTAATGCATAAATTATTTTACCATTTTAAATTGTCTTTCGGTGTACATATATTTAATAATACGCTTTATTATATCCAAGAAGTTGAGATTTCTAGAAGAAATTTATAATCAATATCGTATGTAATGGATTTTTATTTTGTACACTGTAGTATACGTTTATATAAGTAATATTATTACCTAGGTTTTACTGCTTCAACATTCATAAGTATGGTAGAAAGCATTATGTCATCGTTTGCATGATATGCAATAGCAGAAAAAAATATATTATTGTAATCATTGTCTAATATTTTGACATTTGATCTTATTATTTTCAAATATTCGATGATTACATTTGGTTCCTTAACGCACGGCAAATATTCTAGCAATACATTATCAGTTTCTTTAGTATACAAATTGTATATTTGATACCAAGTATTAGTACTGTTTGTTATCATTAAAGCTCCACAGGCTACCCATTTTTGCAATGGAATTCTGCAATATAATAAAAAGAATAAATATTTGTTATAAAAATTTTATTTTGTTTAATTTAGTGTCTTGTATCTTGACTGAATAACAAATAGAGCGTCATGTAAAGTACAAAATGTAACAATCAAAATCATGTTTAAAAAATAAATTACTTGTGCATAACAGCAAGCTTCATGTAGGTTTGTAATTCTTTGTAAGCCGTTTCTCTACAAATTTTATCACCAAAGAAACATGCCCATTCCGCAGCTTCTTCCCTTATAGATATAGCATGAATATGATCGTAAACTTGATTGTAGTATCCAATCTCTTCAAAAAGATTGTGTACAATACTTAGCATATGTGCCTAAAAATATTTAAATAACAATGAATTTATTGTATCAATTGTTTGTTGTTTATATTAAGATGATCAATTCCTAAAGAAAGTACAGAGGAACATATAAAAACAATTTAATATTAATTATTGTAATTAAATTTTAATAAACTAACATTTTTTAAATAATTATTAATGAAATATATAAAAAATATAATATTGTTATATTTTTAAACATACTAATATACTTGATGTATTATATAATATCACATGATGAACTCACTACAAAAATTACGTCAAGTTACGAGATCACATTTTATTTTTTTAAATTGTAATTTTTTAAAATTGTTTTTTAAATTTTCTACTGAATGTACTATTTTATGATTAACATATATTTGAGTTTTTTAATATAAAAAATTATAAAATTTTTTATATAATAGTTGAAAATTATTTATATACAGGGTGTCACGTAATTTTTTTTCATCGCTTGTGATAGAAAAGAACTTACGTGACACCCTGTATATATCTTAGTTACGCTCGTAAACAATATTAATATGAAAAGAGTAAATGTGTCAATATATGTACAAATTTTGTTTTACAAAATATAAAATTAAAAATTTTTTCTCATCTGCTATTAAATTTCTAGTTTTTATCCAAATAGGATTTAAAAAAATGTAATAAAATTTTTCCAATTGTAATATTTTATATTTTTGAAGTGTGTAATTTACCTCACAGAATATCATTAATGTATAAGCTCTATAGTAGAGCCTATATGTTTCTTGTGTGTAACAATTTAATATTTGATATATTTTTATAAAAATCTGTTACCTTCATAGGTTCAGCTTCTGGATGAGAGAATATATTTGAATGAATAAACATGTGTCTAAGAATTTTAAACATAGGATACCATGCTACATAATTTTTTTCTCGCCATAGGTATGATGTAAGATTTTTAAACATCTCAAAATCAAGTTGTTTCATCATAAAAAAGTGATATGCATCATCAATGATTTGCGCACGATTTAAAACATGTATCTTGTAATATCTATACGAGTTTAGATGTTTTGCAAGTCTTAGCCAATTTTCCTTATCATACATGACACGATAATATCCTATAAAATAAATAAATACATTCTAATGATTATTTAATTTTTTTGATTTATTTAAAAATGTGTATTTAAAAATTATGAATTTCTTTCTTTATCTACAAATATATGTAAATATAATAATACAAAAATTGCATATTTTATTATTTAAAAAATGCAAAGTACATATTCATATAATATTTTATTAATGAGTGCAGTTTTTAGAAAGTAAATGTATACATTAACTGTGTAAGTTTATATGGAGCTAAAAAATGATTGAATTGTATATAAAATTTAACGTATTTCAACTTTGCTTACAACTAAAATTATACATCAATTTCATATGTTACCTATATATAATATTTCGAGCATTAAGAAATAAAAAATACAAATGGAAGGAAGGAATAATTTAACTTAAATTTTTAGTTAAACTTAAATGTAACATAAGAGCGAAATAAATTCATCAAATATTCACCAAGTTGTTGTAAATTGACTATTATCCAATCATTCATATTAAGTGATAAATTTATAAAAAACTTTTCAGAGGTTATCCATTCTTGAAAGAAAGGCCAAGTAATGCTAAAATTAAGATTCGTTTGTGTAGTGTAAGTTACAGGTATCCACCATTCGTGTTGTTCAGACGTATTACGCATTTCTGACCATATTATTGTGCGACCATTATTATAATTTCGTATCACTTTTAATACAGGATATTGATTTTTCGTGATCCAAAAGTTCATTACTTCCTTTATATCAAACATGTTTTCGTGATCAGATTTATCTAAAGCAGTTTGCATAACGTCCCACAAATTGTTGACGGATGCTATTTTAACAGGCTTATTACCCATACAGCATAGTAAGTTGCAGCAACATTGATGTAATGTTTCCAATGTTACCTCAATATTGTTGGAATGTTGCGGTTCGTCGAAAGTATCAACATGATCTGTCCTATATATGGATTAAATTTATAAAATTTAACACTGTTGATAATAAACACATTTTTCGCAATGGATTTTATTACATCAAACAACTTATACTTATGTAATAATTTGAAATAAATTTTAAATATAACGGACAGACAAAACGCTACCTCGATAAATTTAAGATACTGTACGTATTTTACTGTATTTATGATACTGTACGTAACTCGAATAACACAAAATCTTGTACAGATAAAATATAATATCTCAAAAATAAGACATTTGAGAAAAAAATTTTTATTAGTTAAAGTTTCATTAGTAAAAGTTAAAGTGTTACAAAAATAGGATTTTAACAAATGCATATTAAATGACGATACTTAATTGATCTTGAGTGCAAGTATGAAGAAACTTTCGAAGTCAAATTTAAAATTTACATATGTGAAGTTGGCACCTAACTTAAAAAAAATTTTTATTATTCAATAGAGCTAGATTTGTATTCGTTTGTACCTTCTTTTTCGTTTGTATCTATGGGATTGAAAGAAAAACGAAACAAACTGCGGTACAAACGTCTACAAGCGATCCCGAAACAGCACCTGCATTCAGATTTAAAATACCTTCAAAAACGGCGAAGTTAGCTCTCTCCTATTTTGAAAATTCAATACAATCTTCGCCTGAGAAATACAAACGAAACGATTGCAGTACAAACGGGTACAAATGATGCTGACTCAGATGGTACTCTGAAAATTACTGTATCTTAAAGTGGGGTGTTAACATTTTTTTAAATTTTATATTTCTTTCAATTTCTTAAGGTACAAACGAAAAGGAAAATGGTACAAACGGATACAAACCTAGCTCTATTGAATGTGTATAATAAAAAAATTCTTTCTTCAAGTCGGGTGCCAATTTCATATAGGTAGATTCAAAATTTACGGAAATTCTCACTTTTTATTCAACGCTTTTAAAACATAGACGTACGCTACAAGAATTTGTTTTTTTAATGTTTTCTTACACTTTATTACATTTTATGATATAAAATTGCGAAATATTTTAATGTAAAAGTAAAAATAAGAGAAACAACCAATGATCTTAAAATTTGACAAATATTATCAAGGTGATCATATAATAACTCTGACCAACATTCAAAAGATTTTAGCCGTCAGTCGGACATTTCGAATAATGCTAATGCAAATGCTCTGAAAGAATCTTATTAATGCTACAATAATATTAAAAAGTGAGAATTTCTATTAAAAATTTGAAGTTTAAGAGAACTCTTCCATTATTACATATACATACGCTTAAATTAGTATCATCGTGTGTTTGATACATTTGTTGAAACTCTACAACTTTCATTTCACTATGAATCTTTTATTCAAATGTCTTATTTCGAAATATTTTACCGAAAAGAGTCTTTTTTAGCATCTAGTATACTTTTAAATAATACTTACTGATTTTTTAAATAATTGTAGATACCCTTTTTAAATACCTTATCGGAAAGTAGATGATATAACATGCGTATGATAAGAAACGCTACAATGATTAAAATATATAATAAATTATTTAAATGTTTATAATAAATTTGTTTTATTGTCCATATGTTTTCGTGAACGTGCGTAATTAGATTTTAAGGACGTTCTCCGAAAAATACATTTTCTTTAGATTTTTCTAAAACTTACAGAAAAAGCTTATTTCAATGTCTTGAACATGTGCTTTAAAACTTAATATTCGGAACGGGATTAAAAAAATCAAGATATTCCACTTGAAAGTTAAAGCGTTTAACATAGGATTCCTATCTAAAGTTTATTCAAAAGTGTTCTTTTTATTCACTATTAAAAAATTTTTCTTGACAATTTTTTGAAACAATGAGACAAATTTGATATCACAAGGAATAATATGAAATTTATCTGAATATGGCTTCCGGGGTAAATGATTAGGGAACCTCCCCAATGACCTTGACCTTGACATATGTTGTCAAGGAAGTGACCCTGAAACCTCCAATAGGTTTTAGCCGTCGCTCGCCCTTCGTTAAAAAGTTATGAACAAAAGAAAAGTTTCAAAAATAACTTAATTATTTCTGCTGTATATACAATATTAACTATTTTGCACATGTTTTGATTTTCTACGCGAAGCGATTCTAACTCCCTCCTCTAGTCTCCATTGTCCGTTTATATAGAGACAGTTTTTAGAGATACACGTTTTTAGAGAACGTGCAAATATTTGCAAAGTAATGGTTCTATTCTGCCTTCTATGTCAGTATATATATTATAAATTCTAAATTTATATACTGTGACTATTTTTTATTTCAACCCCATTTCTATCTTACGAAGGAGCTCACACTGCCATATCGTTTTATGTTGTAAACTATATGCATGAACGCTATTATCCAAAACTTTTCCTTTAAAAATTATGAAAATATATTTTAACTTTTTTTAGTGAAAAAACTTATCAATTTGATGACAAGATTTGACTTGAATTAGGACATTACCATCACGTTATTTCGTACTTTATCTTTACATGTTTGATTTTTATATTTAATTTATTTTCATTTGTACTGAAGAGGACCCGAATGAGGGTCGAAATGTATACGTTTTTATTGTTCATTATTGAATAAAATTTTATATATAAAGAATACACACTGACAAGTGGTGTCGGCTCACATTGGCATTTTATCGTTTTTTTAAAATTTATTTATATGAGCCTTGTAATAATTTTATTATTTAATTTCTATTGTATAAATGTGGACAGTTATTTTTATTTGTTTATGACATTGACATTCAGGTCGTTATAATTATTTAATTATTTATTTTTACCTTTATTATAACGGAAAGAAGAATATGATTTGATCCCATAGGGTTCCTCAATTTGTAATACAATAGGTGGCGTATTAATGATAGATTCCAAATGAAGAGTTTCAAATCGATTTCGAACTATAATTAAATTCATCATTTGAAGATCTGTGAAATTCTAGAGATAAATATTTTAATGTAATGAAATGAATGTTGGATTGAAAGAAATTCGATATTTATATTAGCAATATACATTAGAGCGTTGCTAAAAAGTTTCGAAATTTTAACTCCCTTAAACAAGATATTTACTAAAAGTTTTTAGCGTTTAAAGAACGCTTCGAAAATTAAACACGAACATGATGTATTTATCTAAATTTCAATATATTCGTTTAATTTTCGTAATGTACCCCAAACAAATTTTTTAATAACTTTTTATATCCAGAAAATTAAAATTATAAAAAATACTATTCTTTTACTTATATTTATTTAAAGGAAAAGTCAACTCTTTTTTAACATTCTTTTTAATAAAATACAATAGAAAATATTTTTAATTATTATAAATTTTAGAATTTATAATAATTAAAAATAATAATATTTTATATAATATTTTATTTAGAAAGATATTGAGAAGCAGACGATTTATAAAATAATATGCTACATAATATTGATATTTGGTTAAAGCAATTTGGAAAAACTTATTTTAAACTTTTATACCATTATTTTATATTATTATAATTTGTTAAAACATCGAGATTCAGTGTGTGTTGGCTGATTATTTATTTATAATTTAAATTCTATAATATAAGAATAGTTGCACAATATGTTCAATTTTTAATAATAAATAAGCATAAACATGTAAAAGTTTTCCATATTGTGATTAAGATATCAAAAAGAATTTTTCTTTAACTGTGTAAACAAAGCTAATGTTTGATAACGCGAATAATATACATATATAAAGAAGATAACCTTGTCTAGAACATGCATTCCCAAAAACATAGCAATACCCTCATTTAACCATATGTCAGTCCAACTAGATAAAGTGATTTTATTTAAAAATTGATGCGTCACTTTACGTGCTACTAAAGATGCAATTTCTGTCTTGCGCTCAATAGAATTCCATTCTTCATTATAGACAACATCTTTTTCACTAAAAAAATTAATATAGTGAATATATTTTGCTTATATTAATATTTATATATAAAAATCTCTTCTTTAACATATTATTTTTTCTTAAAGCAAAAAACAAATTATAAAAAAATACAATAATGCTTATAAGATTTTCGCAGGTATTTACTTCAAAGATACCAAAGAATTTGCGGATTATTACCGTGTCGTAATCTGTATTATGGTGTTACACCCATGACGAGCGGGTTCACAAATTCTCACTCGCGCCTTTATCAGTATGGATATACTGATAAAGTGATTATCAGTGCGCTCCTCACCCTGATGAAGTGAAGAGCAAGGTTTGCGAAACGTTGACATTAGCAATAGATCACTACACGGAGATAACCAAATCCTCTGGTATTTTAAAAAAGTACAATTCATTCTTGTATATGTAAAATATATTACCTATAAAATATGATTCCCCAGTTTGGCAAGCCATCATCTCGATGATATGGAATTACGACATGATTCGTTGTTGATATATCATTCAACTTATCATCCTGGAAATATTTGTCTCTCAAGTATGTCGTAGAAGCTACAATAACTTGTAAAGTAAAATGCATCAGTTCTACTACTGATATGTCTCTGACCCATAGTGCAATGTTTCCATTATCAGAATAAAGCGCGTCCAATTCGCTTACTGCAATTGCGACAAGATGAGGATGCATTGCAGGAGTAGTTTGAAAATTTACTCTCACCGTATTCATATTAATATTCTTTCTTGTTGCTGCTGGCATATTTGATATAGCAACGAAATGTTTAGGATGAAAAACGGTGATATTAAATGTGGCCTTAAACATTAATTCATTTAGAGACGGAAATACATATTGCCCTCCGATAGTATTCTGAAAGCCACCTGCTGAGTAGATCCACCTATCACATTTTTTAACAACATATATTAGATAATAATAAATTTGACATAAAAATATTTAAACAAAGTAATAATATTAAAACGACTATACAGCCAAGCTAGATTTTAGTACTATGTATAACTGTGCGTATTAATTGTTCTAAAATAAAATAAAATACAAACGTTTTGATCTCTATCAGATTATCCTCAGTGTATGCATTAGGTACATATGAAAGTAATTTCGAATTATTAAACGTATAACAGAAATCGGATTATTACATATCGGTTATATTAAATTTCAAAAATGCTCGCAAATTTTACGATAGCTATGTATACATGCAACTATATACATAATATGTTTCTGCTTATTATTCAAAAATAATGCAGCTCAAATTATCGTATGCAAATCAAGAGTAATATATAACCTAATTATTAAGAATATAATATCTGATAAAAAAAACTAGTAAAATATATTCCCAATTTTTTACATTATACTGTGTAGATAAATTTACAGGAAAGTAATTGTAAAATTGGTTACATAAAGTATAATGAAAAAATTATGGATTATGCTAGTCATTCTTCAGTTTTTGTACTCTTGACATATACTTGGATTATAGATTACTTATATGGTTTGCATAGCATAGAATAATTTAACTACGTTAAATTTTTAAATAGAAAAACTGAATCTACACTGACATAAGTAAGTTGAATGCATACATAGCTGTATCGTTGCTATATATGATTTGCGAGCATTTTAAAAAATGTAATGTAATAATTGATGTATAATAATATAATGCAAATTTTCTGTTTAATCATTTGAAATTATTTTTGTGTGTATTAAGAATAAAGTTTGAAATGTTTATATTTTATTTTATTTTGAACGGTTGGTGCACAATTATATATACCACTAAAACCTAACTTGGCGTAACCTTTTATTGTTACAATCTTAACTATATATATAATGTGTATTATTGCATCATAAATATAAATAACGTTTACAATATTAGAACAAGAAATAATGGAAAATAAATGGAATAATTACATCATATAATATTTCAAATTTATATGTAATTTATTTAAAATAAAAAAATTTTCTGGTAAGAAAGATATAAACAAATTTTCTTTAAATTTTGTATTAGCTAAAAATCTTTAGGTACTATTTTTTATATAGTAATATTTGTTATATAATATTTATCGTAAAAGAATTTATATTGAATATTATATATTAAATTAAACAATATGTTTTGAATCTCTGATATAAAAAATATTTTAATGGTATAATTTTATTGAACGATGTTTAATTATACACATAACGTGTATACTCACTTAAGTTTCCTTTCATCATCTAAATATGAAGTTATGACAAAGCCATCCGCATTTTCGCGATCAGTTATAGTACCATGGTATTTCATTTTGAAAATGTAGGACCCAATCGTTATCAAATCATGAAAATGAAAGGTACAAACAAACAATTTATATTGACAAGTATAATTCGATGCTTTATAGACCCTCCTCGATATTTCATGAAATAATGAAGCCGATTTATCCATGTCTACAAACACTGAATGCAAATTTATTCGTTGCGTAGGGTGACGTACGATAATGTTAACGTTGGATTCGCCATAGAAAGTATAATTTGTAACAGAGTGAGGAAGTGATATTTTGATATCATAATGCAATGCTATTATATATGATGGATGTAAAAAAATCAGATTATTTTCTGAATTTTTTCCGGCAACAATAGTTATTGTAACAAAGAATATTAAATTGATATTTAATAACAGCTTTAAGAATGTCATGCCGTTTATCATTGTAGATATCTGTAAGTACAAATTCTTTCTGTTAAAAAAAAAACGAAATACTCAATACAAGGTTACTTTAATGTGATCTTAATTTTGATGATTAAAAAAGAGGAAAAGAAAATAATTCAAATAAATTTTGTTTTAAATGCATTTTCATTTTATCAATTTAAATCATAAATAACGCGATATTAAGGGTTATATATGAAATGTCTAATGAAAATCATATATATTCTCTCTTTATATATATTTCTTCTATGTAAAATTCTTTCTATATTCAAAAAGATTTATTTAAATATTATTTTTCGATAACTCTCTCACCTTATATATTAAACTTACATACGATAAGAATCAATTCTAAATATCAAGACAAACGAGTTTTATCCAATGTGGCTGATCTTGAAATATGTCAACCTAACTATTCTTACTGTTTTGAAAGAATACAAAACATTAAACAATATATGTCATCACCTGATATCATAAGGAGTTATATGTGATGATATGTATTCTTTAACCTAAGGGTAACCAAGTTTTTATGTAAAAATTGTCTGCGTTGTTTTTACTGTACTTTAATTAAATTAAATCATTATTATATAACAATATATTGTATATTGCTCATTGTTCCCCGATTATTGGTATTTGAGAATGTCATGAATATAGATTTAGACATTTTCTAAAAAAAATAACAGAAACTAAACAAATATTAAACGAAATAAGCAAGTAGCTTATTATAACACAGTATTATTAAAAAATAAAAATTTTATATTTATAAAATATATATATATATCACGCTTTTTATTGTATATTTTGTTATCAATAAATAGTAACAATATTTGGATGATATAAATTTTTTCATAAAATAGAAGTAACAAATTTATAACATTTGAGAACTGTAATCATAAAGTTGGGCGATTCGGAAATTGTTATGTTTTAAAACTAAGCAATATACCAAATCTTAAATGTTAATGAATACATTCTTTCTATTTTTTATAAAGAAACTTTTATTAAATAACATCAATAATTCGTATAATTAACATTCTATATACACTTTTATTTATTAATCCATGACAATCTAGTATAAATTAACACCAACGAACAAATAAATAAATAAATAATTAACAAGATTAATAATAATTATCACAATTAATGTTCTTTTATTGAAATTCTTTAGCGCAGAGTAATGAAAATTAACGAAACAAATGTATATAGTATAATGAGGCACAAAAGTTTCTCTCTTCTAGAATTATCATGGATGTTTATTAGAATATAGGTATATTCTCTTTAGTTTGCTTTTCTGCAGCTTCCTACAATTTTCTATAAAGATCTGCGTCATTTATTTTATGTCAAATGCAAACAATGTAAGAAAATGCAGCTAAAAAGAACAAACCTTGTTTATGGCCTTTTTTTACTGAACATTGTTTTCCGATACGCTTGCTAAATTGCTCGAAACAATATAGAAATTGGAATGTGTTCATAAGTACAATAATACCCGTAAGTTGTCGTCAGATTATCAATACTTATAAGAAATATCAATATTTTTTTGAATATGATATTAATAATGAATAAATTTCACGAACATGTCTATTTAAGTATACATTGTCGTTTTAGTGCATTGTTAACATTTCAGTCTGTAACAATTATATTCGCATATAACATAGAATTCTTATCGATTGGATATTTAAAGCCCGTGTCACACTGAAGAATGAGGGTTGCAAACTGAAGAATTTAACCATTCAAAACAGATTAAAATTACTTATCTGACAGGTTCTAATCTCTATTTTGCAATTCTCAATCTCTATAATGCGTAGTGTGACACGAACTTAAGAATATTTCATGATCGGCATATTATACTTGAAAACCGATCACATTTCGTTGCATTAATTTCAAGTGTCTTTAATATTTTTTAATAATAACTAATATTGAAATTGTAAAATGTAAATTTAGAATTATATTTATTATTTTTGAGCGATACGAAATTTTCCTCAAAAGCCGTTTTTCATAATAAATGATTTTATAAATGCAAAATTTGTAATATAAGTTTTTATAAACAGAGCAAATAAATAAATTTTTCAAATTCTATATAATAATAATAATAATAGCCGTCGCACAAAACAACCTGTTTGTTTTTGAAACTAAAAATTTTTTTCAGAATATCATTATATTCAACTTGAAAATAATAAATAAATATATAAATTAGAAATTATGATACAATTAAATTCTTTGCAAATTCCAGAATATTAAAAAAATTATTCATGAAATTCAAAATTCAACGAATATGATTATACATTATATTCGTATAAACTGTTCATCCTAATTCAAATCATTATTAATTAATGGACATTTCGACGAGACTACCTTTGAGTCTGCTTCTTGTGTGTAAGTTTTTGTAGTTTTGCTTTCAATCCGTGCGGATTTAATTTTACTCTTACAACTTCGGGTTTGGTTTCGAACTTTTTTCGAATTACTTCCAGTCGTTCTTTTCGTATTCGTTGCTGTTCTCTCTTCCAGATATCCTGCAAAGTATAATCCGTTGTAATTTGCTCGATAATTTCAGGCGTTATAAATTATACCTTAAAGTCACGACAGAAACTAAGCCACAGATTAAAGAAGTCGTAAGGTTCTGCAGTATCCAGAGTAGAGCCTTTAGGAATAAACTGATAGAACTTCATCACAGCTTTGAATTTGTTTTTAGCCTCTAATAAATATTCTTTTTCGCTCGCCAATTCGGTATTTGCCCTCGACAGAAATGAATCTACTTTCTTTTTAAATATTTTGGACGTAGATGGATCTGCTTCCACGATTGTACTACACATTTGTGTACACGCTAAAACAAATTAATTTCATTTAACGTATGTATGTGTGTAAATAATACATAAAGATGATTCAAACAAAGCAAATAACATGTGCGAATAAATACGAAAAAGTATAATAATTATTTTAATGCGACAATTTCATCATATTATTCGTACCTGCTTTTTTAATTTAAATTCAGATTAATACTGAAATAGTGATAAAACTGTACTCTATTATTGAAAAATTTAATTTTTTAAAGTATATATTAGAAGAGCCATTTAAAGTATGTATTAAAAAATAACTTACAAAATGTGTATGCAACTTGTATGTATCTATTTATATAATATTAATATTACTATTATATATGGATTAGAAAAAAATGTAAATTTTATAAAATATTTTAATAAGAAATTTAACATACACACACGGATGTAATTACATATAATATTCGTTCTTTTATATATTTTATGTTTACCAAATCCTTTTAAATAAAAACAGTAGAACCTTTTAAGTAAGATAATATTTTATAAACAGAAAAATGAATGTAGAAAATAAATATAAAAATTTTTGATTGAGACATAATATTGGTAATATTGTATTATATATAACACTCACATTGTAATTCTTTATCCAATCTATCCAGTTCTTTAGCGATTTCATCGAATTTGATTGTGGATGCGGCTTCTACGTCAGCCGATTCAGGCACAGGTAAAGGCAATAGCTCTTCGAAATTATGCTCCTTTTCTTGGGACAATTTCGCATTGACGACGTAGTGCAACAAAGTGACGCCAGGTACGTTGGACTTCACGTCTTTCAGTTTGCCGAGGATTTCTAGGCCGAAACCATCAGCCTGGCCGCGCATCATATTTCCGCCGTTCATATAATTTCCCAAGGTCAGTATAATGGCCATTACTTTTTTTAGAGGCTCGGAATTGATCAGAAAATCACAGGTAGTTCGTACATTGTTTAATTTATACGATACTGACGATATCGCATCCTGAAATTCAGATTGCAGCATCAGGCAAGCTATCCTTTCGGAGAAGTGCTTTATACCGGACAATCGTTTGAGAAATAATTCCGGTTGATCGAGAGGTACGTCCGGAAAAGTTGCTTCATGAGATGCAATTTCTTCTATTTCTTTTTGCGTCGGTTTCTACAAATCAAAAAACATCAAAGTGACTCGGAATTTACGGAAATCGATATATTAAAAGACAAATAAAAAGTGCATTTGCGAATATAGATATACGTATATCTCGTATTTTGCATTTTAATTATATTTTTATCTTACGGTTTACTCACAATTTCGTAGATTTGTTGCAACGCTTCTAAACTAATCACGCTTGTGTCTAAATTATAAGCCGCGTTCTCGATCTCACTAAAATCAATGTGTAGACTCTTTTCAAGAATTCCGACCATCTTTGAACGTTTCGAGTCCAATATTTTCGCAGGTTGGATCTTAGAACTTTTGAGAGGTGTCCCCTCATTTTTCATGGTCGGATTCCTTTCTCTCACCTGCCTTGAAAATAAATTAGCGAACTCTTTCATGTTTAAATTCTCCTCCTCCGCAAGTTCTAACCACAGAGGTATCTAAATAAGACATCACAAAAATAGTCACTCTTGAAGAAATCACCATTTTATGTCAATAGCGAATTTTATCATATTACAGTATTTGTTTTCTGCTAACCTGTGGTGATAAATCTGAAGTACCTGATGAAGTTTGGCTGGCCGCAGTGACTGGTACCAAAATTCTCGTCCAATATAATGGCTTCATAGGTACATCAGGATTTAAAGGTTGCTTCCTCATAACTACAAAAAGGAGGAACTTGTGTGCGGTGCAAATATTGAAATTCTGAAGCCGAAAAGAATGTACAGCGTACTCTCGATTAATAAAAAGAATTACCGAGAGTACCCTGTACTTTTGAAATCATGATACCTACTAGCTCTGTTCGGCAGGTTCCATCCTCCAATCGGTGGAGCGGGTAAAGGGCAAGGTCCTATTGCTCCCAGGGGTGGTGGTGGTGCCATAGGCGGTGGTGGAGGACCTGCACCTGAACCTCCAATAGGAGGTGGTAGAGGTATACCACCCTGCATAGCCATACCTGGAGGTGGTGGCGGTGGTGGTGGACCAGTCATAGAACTCTGCTCCATTCCAAGTAACGGTGGTGGCGGTGGAGGCATCGCACCAGTAATGCCCGCAAGTGGCGGAG